TCGTAGCCATATCCGTAATGATATAGTTAAAGCATTGAATCTTGAAGGTTTGGATGTTTTAGAGATACCCAGCGGGACAACTAGTGTTTTGCAGCCACCTGATGTTTTAGTAAATAAGCCTTTCAAAAGTGGTATGTGAAAAAGATGAGAAGAATGGATAGAAAAAGGAAAAAAGGATTTTACCAAAAATGGTAACTGCAAAAAAGCACCATACGAGCTTGTTTGCGAATGGGGTTCTCAAATATAGAAGATATGATTGCATTACAAAAATTGTTGAATTTGAGTGCTGCTAAGAGAAAATAGTATTTCGGGCTTTCGATTATATAAATAAAAGTCCGAAGTACTATTTTCTCTTAGAAGCACTCAAATTCAACAATTTTTTTATATAACATGTCAGAATTACAAAAGTTTGGCCTGTATTAGTTTCTCTTTTTAATAATTCACATTGTAGCTTCACCATTGTAGTATTTAAATAATGAAAATTATGTTAAATTATCATGTATTCAAAGTTACAATTACATAAAATTTTAAATTTACTAAAATTAACTTACTTGAAGGAAATCAGTAAAGAAGTTTTGATTAAATCTTTTGAATCAACTGAACTCACTTTAAACCCTGATAGTAGTGAAGATAATAGAATATCACACCGTTTACAAGCAATTGTTGAAGACCAGATGAATAAGATTAACGAGTTATCAAGTGAAGAAAAGGATGAAGAAATAATGGATATTGATGTATATAATGATGTAGATAATGATATGATGAATGTAGACAAGAATGAAGATATGGAAGATGAATACATGACAGATAATAAGTGTGATAGTAAGTATGGCAAAACATTCTATGAATTTATAATCTATTAAATATTACTTTGCTGTTTGTTAAAAACGATCTATATATTATGTTGAAACTAGAATATTACTATTAGGCAGTAAGTATATAATTTACTTCAAACCAATTATCTACTACTCTACTTGTTAAACTGATAGGAATTTCTAAAATAGAAAATGAATTTTTTAGTAAAACAAAAAAAAAAGCAAGATTTACTGTGCTAATTTGTGAAAAAATAATTTGGAATCATCTTTTTAAATAGGAAATTGCTCAAAAGCCAGGACAATAAGACTATTTTACAAAATTGTTTACTGCTTATCTGATATTTTCAAATTTTTACCCCAAAGTTTTTCCTGTCTTTCTAAGAAAAATTCCTACTGAAAATAAAAAAAAAAACCGTTGAGTTTATATCTTCTATGTTCTAAACAAATAATTTGTCTTCTAATAAATACAAAATTCTTGTTTGCTTCAAGCAACTTAATATAAAATATTAAATTACCCATTTACCTTAAATTCTATACATAATGACTAAAGATACCTTGCACAAAAAAAGTATAGTAAAATCTTAAATGCATTTTCTAGAAGTGTCTTCTACGAATATACATTTATTAAAACCCAAATAAATACATTACCTCTATTAATGCACTTTTTTCTATCATTCTCTAAGTGCACGTTGTTAGAGTTTTGGTCTCTATGGGTGCATTTAGAAATCTGACTATATAATTACGTAAATACGTGAGTGTGTAAATATGTGAATATGTGAATACGTGAATGTGTTAATGCTTTTAATTTTCTTAACAAACAATAAAAGACTACGTATGTAACAATTCTTAGAGTTTAATATATTTTTGAGTATGTATTATATTTACATAATGTAATATGATATGAATGTATAATAGGGTGCATGTTATTTCGAAACGCGCATGAGCGCTATTTCAAAACCAATTATGAAATTTTTAGGGGGCGTGATTTTTGAATTAATGCCTATGCCCGCTATTTCGAGAATTTACGATAATAAATAATATCATATAATTCATATAATCAATTTTGATTGGTCAATCACAGAGTCACTATAGCAATAGGTCACTATAAAATAACGCTTTTAAATAAAATAATAATTTATTAATAATATAAGATATATATTTATTATAGAATATATTCTTGAAAATATATTTTATAACTTTTATTATAAAAGTTTTTTAAAATTATT